AGCTATTAACATAGCAGGGGATAAGAAAATCTTAATTAAACAGAACTTGCAATAAAGAAAGCCTAAATAGGGCTCTCTTTACAGGAAGTGTTTATGGAAGGCTGTGCAAGTCACATGCAGTGAGGTGTGACTAGGGTTCATAAACAAAGGGATTTAACTCCTAAATGGCAGAGGATTGAGCAGTGAGGCTGCAGGGGCATGTTCTATACACCAAAACTGCTTCATTAAGCTAAACTTGTTCAGGTGACTATAGTGTCACTTTAAAAGGAATTTCTAAACACCATAACAAGCATAGACTTTTACTTTCAGTATCACTACTGTAGCAATGATACCTTATTTAGGCAGAAATCCAGTTTGTCACCCACTCATGTTTCACAAATCTCGTTTCAGTCAGGTATGGCATCTTTGTCACCTCTCTAAATCCTCCGTCTGTTACGCTCTCTTCCTTCTTACAGTCTCTATTTCCAAGGTCTATTTATTTGTCTCACAACACTGCACATGTCGTTCCCCCAACTTTTTATATGTTTCCTGCTATTTCATTGTCAGCCTCTTTTCCCCGTGTCATTTCCACCAGTTTCTCTTAGACATCGAGGGACAAGATGTCTCTTCCGATCACCATGTTGTGAGGTATGGCTGATACTGTCAGGTTAATGTATGAAACCCAAAATGAATCATTCACTGAGGTGAAGATGTCCAAGCAAACAAGACAGACAGGGGCTAGGTAAAGGCAAAGTCAAGGCAATCCAAAACGTCAAAATCCAGGCAGCAAGGTTCAGGAGCGGAGGGACAAGTCACAGGTCAGGTATCCCAAAAAACAGAACATAGCAGCCAAGAATTCACTGATAAACAGCACAGAACAACTGAACAGCATTCTGTGATTAAACAGGGCTCCCAAGCTTTGCCAGGCCTCCTACAGCACGCCCCCCCTCCCCCCCCCTTTTCTTCTTTCATACTATGGGAGATTGGTTTACTACTGGGACCTTTTGAGGGTGGCTTTAGTTGTAACCAACCCCTCTGGGCTGATCCGCGTGGATTTGACGCGCATGTCACCCTGGCATCTGACGTTGTGTGGGAGTTGTGACACTTTTTGGATTGAAGGTCACAGCTTGCCCCTTCGATCACACGATTGGTAGTCCGCGGGAAAGCCGTCGGAGGAGGGAGGGGTTAAGGCCTGACAGAAACAGCATACGGCAGGTGGTAACTATCTGAAACTAAACCTTTTTCAATATTTTGCCAACTATTGCCTTGTAGTGTCGATGTAGTCTCTACTTTGTTCTTATGGAAAACTTTGCTTGTAATTTCAGTGAAGTTTATCTTTATGAAAAACACATTCGTACCAACACAGCACGACAACCAGGAGCATATTAGCGCACAAGGTCTAAAGCAAATAATCCAGATATACACCTGAAACTAGAAACAAGATTGTTAATGACCTGCAGTTAATTGTCTTGCAGAGAAAACGGAGATACGTTATTAGAGTCAGTGGGATATTTAGAAAAGATAATATCCCTTCCAGCAGATGGAGAACTGGGTGAAGGAATTAAGCGTTCCTGACTGCTGGGTTTACTAATGGAATTAAGCTTAGGGTTTGTTAATAGACAGAAGCTATGGAGCAGATATTGGACAATTAATGGAAAATGCTATATTGTCGTTAAGAGCTGAGAATAAAGAAATTTGTGAGCAAGCTGCATCCCAAAACCAGATGTAAAACAACATAAAAATTATAGAGAGACGCAGAAAGAAAAGTATAATTTTTTTTTTTTACGATACTGATAAACATGAACTCTTGTAACTAGTTACTTTACGGTTTGTTTCTTTGCCTATGATGTCAGCTTCACACGCTGTAAACACTAGGTTTAAAGAATGGGCAGCTCTGTCGACATGATCGAATCGTCATTGAGACTTTGAAGACCGTGATCCTGTATCAATACAGAACTGGTATTGAGAGAGTGAGTGGAGAGTAGGCTAAGCTGATAGAGCTGTGGTGATTCAGCTGAATCCTCTTACACCACTGTCCTTACAGACTTTCATTGCACGCTGCAAGAACACATGAGCTCACAATCACAGCGAATGCTTTTGATGCTATGGGAATCTTATGTTCTTTGTCAAACTATGAATTGACATAAAGGAGGGACAGCACAGAGGTTCATGTTTATGCGCTGTTCGTGCTACTAACCAGTTTAGGACTCGAAATCTAACTCCCCCTAATGTAGCCTAATCACCCTCCCTCAATATTTATTCCCATGAAATGGAGCACTCTAGTTTTACATCCCTAGGACTATTCTGCAGGAACATTGTGCAAGGCAGCTGCCCGGTGCAACTTGCGTAATTCCCTGCTCAGTTACCCAGCTGCACAGGAATGTATTATTTGGAGGGGAGATGGAGAAAATGAAGAGCCGTCGATGCTTACTGAAAGCCAAGGGGAGCCTCTTTCTCCACAAACAGGAAGACCCTTTTTCAAAAACCATCTCTTAGCAATGGTAGCCTGGAACTGCGCCAGATCTGGAAAAAGTCACAACTCGGCTAAACTTAATTAGCCTAATTCTCAGACTGAATACATCCAATCCGTGTGCTTTTTGGACATCTGGGGATTAGCCTTGTCTGAGTATGTACAATTTTTTAAAGATATTATTGTGTCCTAGCTAATTGAATTAGACACAATTGGTAACCTATCCCAGTTGATGACCCACTGTTGTGATTGTCCCTATAAATATGTGTGCTTGGTGACAATAAAGTGTGTTTTTACCTTCACCAAATGTCTGGTGTTTAGGGAAAGGGCTATTTCACTTCAGCGCTGTCTTCTCCAGCCAGAGGGAACTTTTAATGGAGGTACTCAGCTGTAGTACTGAAGCTCTGTTACACTATTTGCCTGTTCTTGCTTGGAAAATTGTAATTTACATTTTTTTATTTTTTTTATTTAATTTGTATAACAGACCTTCTGAGGCATGATAAAACACAGATCTTTACCATCATGTTGTACATATTCTTTCTCCTGGTTTGGGTTCCTAATGCTATAGTGTTCCTTTGACATTTTCCATCTGCTGACAATGCTAGGAGTACTCTTAATGCAAGAGATAAACCTGAGGTCAAAGATGTTTCAAAGATCCACCTTTGCTCATTCCTGCATATTGTACTCCTATACCATTTACTTGCTCTCATATTCATTTAAAGGAACCCCCTGCAGAACCGACCACAGAGCAGTCAAAGAATTGTCTCAGAATTTAATCTCCTCATGACTATCATAACACGCGCTGGATGTCATTGGTGGCAATGGGTTTGGTGAGAAACTGAGTTGTTTTAGGTATGTAAGTTCTTAACTAGTGCTTCATTAAGCTGTGCAGGTCACACTGGTAGATGTTGGTGGATACATGGTATGATGTCACGTTTTGCAACTCTTGGAGCATCCAGCTTTTCAAAGATGTATGAAGTAGTCCATGTGAGTGAGACCATTCCTATATTTCCTAACTTTGGGAGATATGACAAACAACAAAGCCACACAAATAGT